AAGTGACAGGAGGTTCATGTCTATGAATTCTATGAGAAATTAAATCACCATTCCTTACAAAAGTTTCTAAATCAGCAATTTTATCATTTAATTTAACTTCACCATTTGATATAGCTTTTGCATAATAATGAGGTTCACGATCTCTAAATTCATTTGAAAAAATATCAAACAATGTACGATCTCTCCATCTCATTTTACAATATGTTAAATAAGTATAATAATAAGGATCTATTTTCCTTAATGGGCCTTGTATTGAATAAGTGACATTTGAATCTTGCATTGTTTCATTTGATTGATGTTGTCTTTTAGCTTTGAATCCAGATTCTGAAACCAATTTCTGGAGTTTCTGCTTGCGTGGAGGACTTTGACTTGGACTTGTTGACATTTTCCTAATTAGATTCATTCAATTTTCCCACTGGTCTTTGAATATATGAGTCCTTTCAATCTTGGTGGTTTTGTTCAAGTGTGAGTTTGATGTTTTCGATCTTTTTTAGTGTCTTTATTTTTTTTTTTTTTTCAGTATATATTGAAAAATTTCGGGCTTTCGAGATTTACACATTGAAATCAAATTATACAAAAATCATGATTTCATAAACTACAATCAATTTTGAATAAATAAAGACACATTATATTATCATTATCCCATTGATTTCAATATTATAGTTTAGAACCAAGTTTTTTAGTTGATTTCACAAAAAATTCAGAAAATTTAGGATCCTTCATTAAATTTGTATTATCAATTCCAACTTGTTCAAGTCCCTTTGACACAATTTGACTATTTGAAGTGACTAAATCTAAATTTTGTTTAGTTCCATGAACTGCTGGTTGATATTTCAAAGATATCTTATTTGCAATTTCAAAAGCTCTGTTTAAAGCTTCTTCTTTTGAAGAGAAAACATTACTAACAAGTCCAAGATCAAAAGCATCTTGTGAATTAAATTCATCACCAGTTAATGCATATTCATATATCTTGGATACATTATTTGATAATATAGGTAATCTTTGTAAAGAACCAATATCTGCAATGATTCCAATATCAATTTCTTTTATAGAGAATCTTGAATCTTTTGAAGCTAATCTAATTGAAGTTGCAGAAATAAGATCTAAAGCTAATCCAAATGAAACACCATGAGCCACTGAAATGATTGGAATTTTCGAACCAACACCAATATTAATATCATTTTGAAATTTTTTAAGAAATTCTAATGTTTGAGCTTTAGTTTTTTGTGAAGTTTCTTTAAACATTTTAAATGAACTTTTCAAATCAATACCAGCTGAAAGATGTTTCCCAGTACCACTTAACACGATAACTTTAACATCTTGTAATTGATTTAGATGTTTGATTAAAGATCCATATTGATTCCAAGTTCTGTTTTTTTGGGTTAACTAAGAGTCTTTTGATATCAATTTGATTATACTTACTCTTCACTAAAACTATTCAAAACTTTTGGTCTATTGATTTGTATATGAATAATACCATTCCCTTTGGATTGAACAATGAAATGATTGTACTTTGTGAAATCTTTTTCATTGAATGACATAATGATTTGAATATTTCTCTTAAATTTACTTGATTCTATAAAAATTCATCAAATTCATTGGAAATTTTGACACTTTTTATATATTTCAATTTGCGGGGGACATAATTAATAGTTTACTATGGAATAACCGAAATCTATACAAAACTGGACAAACATCACAAAAGAAAAACACAAGTAAAGTGATGGTAAGGATTAATATATATCTTCCACTAATATACATAATAATCACATTAATCACTGGTTAAAATTCATCTTTTTAATAAAAATAAATGTTTTTGTCTCGGTAAATTTGACTCTGTACATTATGATCTTGGTATGGGCAGAATTTAAACGTTGAAATGTTTAAATCCAATTATTTAATAAAGTTTTGGTATAAAGGTGGGTGGGTTTATTTAGTGATATTGTATGCAAAATTTAATAATGATTTTAATGAATGTTTTGTTTTTCCATTTTTCAAAAGTTTAAAATTTTATGTTTTTGAATAATTGATTATTTAAAGTAATATTAAAATTATTGAAGTACATAAAATTTAATATTTGAATAGAAATTTGAAAATTTATATTTTTTTCACAATATAACCTTAGGACATGATAAATCATAATATTAGCTTCAATTCACCATGTAAACTATTTCAAGAAGTATACACTCAATATTAAACTCACAAATTATTACATATTCAAATATCCACTCGGTGATAAATGGAAATAAACGAAAATCTCGGTTTTTATTATATGTTGCATTGTGGGAGCCACAAGTGGGCATATTGAATGATATGGTTCTCACAATGCAACTCTAAAATTCCTATAGTTAATCTCCAATCACGATCCATTGTTTTAAATTAAATATGTCTATTGTCTGGTGTCTGGTGTCTGTGTCGCTTTTATCACCCGATAAGGAAGGATGTGCGATGGGTATTAAAAGGGACAATAAAGGTTAAAATTTATTGATAACAGTTTGTCTTTGTAGAATATAAAGGGTGGTTTTATTGCCAGTTACTCTGCAAAGGCGTTCTTCTTCAAGGGATTCAAATAGCTAGCTAAAATCAACAATATGTCACATTTGGAGAAAGATTCAAAGATAATTTTAGTTGGTGCTGGTGTTTTTGGATTATCAAATGCCCTTCATTTAGCTCAAAATGGATACACAAATATAACTGTTTTCGATAGATTAGATTTTAATTCAAATCATTATACATTTCTTGAAGGTGCTGATACTGCATCTGGTGATTTAAACAAGATTTTCAGATCAAGATATGAAGATAAAAAACATTACCAAGATTTAGCATTTAAAGCATTTGATATTTGGCAAAAATGGAATCGTGAATTACCATTAGTACCTCAAAATGAAGCTGAAAAATATACAGGATTGAAAATATTTGATCATTGTGGTATGTTATTATTAGATGATGTTATAAGTGAAGGACGGAAAAAATCTGGTGAAAGTTTTGCTAAAGAAGGATTAGATGTTTTAATTTATGATATAAATAAAGAAGTTGATATTAAGAGAGCAAATTTTTCAGGGTTTGGTAATAAGATTAAATTTGCTACAGATTTGAAAGAAAAAATCCCAGATCTAAAAGGTAGTTTAGATGTTACTTCAGGTATGCTTTATGCTTCAAGAGGTTGTCAATATGCTAAATATCAAGCTGAGAAATTAGGTGTTAAATTCATTCTTGGTGGTGAAAAGGGAACTTTTAAAGATTACATTTATAAAGATGAAACTCAAAAGGAAGTTGGAGGTATAATAACTCAAGATGGTCAAAATCACATTGCTGATCTTGTTGTAATTAATTCTGGTCCTTGGTCAACTTCTTTAGTCCCTGAATTAGATGGTATAAATGAAGCTACAAGTGGTAATGTTGTCATAATAAAAATTCCAAAAGACCGTAAAGATCTTTTAGAAAAATATTCTTCAAAAAATCATCCAATTATTGGTTGGAAAGTTGGTCATGATAGAGAAAAAAGTTATCAAGGTGGTATTATGATTTTCCCAGTTACAGAACCTGAAGGTATAATGAAAATGTTTGTTAGACAAACCAAATATACTAATCCAATTGTTACCGAGAATGGTCAGGTCATATCAATACCTAAAACTTCAAATAGTGATCCACCTTTTCAGTACTTAACTAGACATATTATAGATCAAGTTAAAAGCTGGTTACAAGATTTCTTCCCAGATTTAGTCCAGGCTGGTATTGAATTAGAAACTAAAATTATTTGGTATACTGATACAATCAATAATGATTATATTTATGATTTTGTTCCAGGTAAAAATGGATTATTTGTTGCCTGTGGTGGATCTGGTCATGCTTTCAAGATGCTTCCAGTACTTGGTCAATTTTTAGTTGATAAAATTGAAGGTCGTTCAAATATTTATACTGAAACCTTCAAATGGAAGGATCCACAAGATTTCCCCAAAGATGTTAATGGTTTGAAAGAGAAATTGAAAAGTGAAAGACAATATGATAAACAGGTCTTATCAGGACCTGAAGATATGAAATTTTGAAATTTTGTTATAATATAATCTTTTGATTATAACCGTATAAAAGTTGTAGGATAAATGTAAGTTTTTGGTTTGAGTAATGATTCGAGCCACCAAACACAATATCTCAGAGAATAGACGACAGTACATGACTTCAAAAAAATATGAGATTTCATGAGAGCCGGAATAAGTAATGTCATGTTATGCTAGCAGGAATTAATACCTAAATTCTGATTTCTTGGGATCAAACGTGAATGATTTGTGTAAACAGCTTTCATACGAATACCCATAAATCATTTTAACGAAACATAACCATATAAGCATAACATTTGAAAAAATTTCATAAATTTGATAATTTGAGTAGCTGAAGTTGGCTTATAACACCCGAATGAACTTTCTCTAAAGATGAAACATGGATGAAATGAAGCGTCCCAATGACATAATGTAATTCCTATAACCCACATAAAATTTTGGAATTATAATAACATCTGAACCATTACCAAATCATATAGCAAAGTTTAATGAAATCTCTAATAGATGTTCACTTGAAGTAGTAATCCTATAGTTTAGCTATAAGTTTCCTTGATATTCATCAAATTCTTATAATAGCAACAATAATTAATTATTAACAGTAAATTAAGCAAATTTATCAGCGATCACAATAACAATCCTTATGAAGAACTTGAAAAAAAATTTAGAAATATTCATTAAGCTTCCATGAAAGCTTCTTCAAAAGTTATTGGTTTGAAAATCTTTCAACTAATGAGTACACAAAGTTTTTGACTTTGAAATTAATGAAGATTTAAACAGAGGATGAAATTATTTTGCAAACATTCACATCCATAATGTTAAACATAATTTTAAAAACCACCAATGATTAAATAAATTTCTGAGAAGCCCATAATAGTCAATTTTTATTAAGGTGATTTTGGAACTTAGCATAAATAGTATCTATGATCTTTAGGTGTAATATGTGTCAAGCCTGATTTAAAGACTTCAGAATTTATAATACACACATTTCATAAAAAGGGCCGGCACTCCCAAGATAATCAAAACATGCACTAAATTATCATCCATCAATAGACCCTGAACAAACTGGTTATTGGAACTCTTGAATTAAAACAACAAAATGGAACAAATGGAACCATAAACATGTAATAGACAAAAAAATATTTTTCAAACCTGATTTAAAGACTCATAATTCAATAATACACACATGTCATAAAGAGGGTCGGCACTCCCAAGATAATCAAAGTATGCATAAATCACCATTTATCAATAAGCCCTAAACATGATGGTTATAAAACTCTATTAAAGTAAAAAAAAATTATAATAATGTAATAGATATTCAATCTGTATATCATATACCATATAACTTACCTAAATATTTTTCAAACCTGATTTAAAGACTTCATAATTTATAATACACATACTTCATAAAAAGGGTCGGCACTCCCAAGATAATCAAATATAATGTACTAAACTATCGTCCACCAATAAACCCTGAACAAACTGGTTATTAAAACTCTTGAATTAAAACAGCAAAATGGAACCATAAACATGTAATAGACCAAAATATTCAAACCTGATTTAAAGACTCATGATTCAATAATACACACATGTCATAAAAAGGTTCGGCACCCCCAAGATAATCAAAGTATGCATAAATCATCAATAATCAATAAACCCTGAAATATGTAAAGCCTAATTTCCCACAAATGATAGAACCAGGTAATCTCTGGAGCTATAGATCTGAAATTGAAACATTAACACCACAAGAAATACATAAACAAAGATCATAGCGGAGATTCAACCCCTGTACTAAAAAGTATAATCAACTGAACCAATGATTGAATGAAGAAAAGAAGCAGAAAATAAAAACAAAAAAGTAGAAAAGAAAAAAGGGAAAATAAAGTCTTTATATTTTTTTTCGGGTTTCCGAAACACAAAACACAAAATACAAAAAAATAAACACAAAACACAAAATAAACAAATTAAAACAAAACACAAATGAAACCATATAACTCTTGGCATTTGTTTCTATGGAATTTGATATGTATTTGAATCTGATTAATTATCTCAGTGTGATTGTGACACAAAACTGATTTTTACCATGTAAATCCCAAATCCCACAATTTGTGCCCAATAACTCATGGACTTTTCTGGCAAGTTGACAATGTTATAAGTATTAATGAAGCTATCATTTATTGGATTGACATAGTATGCTAGTAGTTACAATCAGTTTCTATTAATTCGACTTCATCAGCTTACTTTAAGTATAAAAATATAAAAATATCACAAATTTGTCTAATTTCCTAATTTGTATATTTCTTATATGTTTTTCCTAAAATAGTAATTTAATGGATAGTTTAATTTAGCCGGTAAGAACACTATTTTGATGTGATACTATCAGTTTTGACTTTTAATTCTCAACTTCTTTCAACTTCCAGTCTTACACAACTCAATTGTATATCTTTACTACCAATGACACTACTGAGAAAACTTGCAAGAATTTCAAATGGGATGTCTCCCTTCCTCATAGGACCTGAAATATCAAGACTCATCAAATACCATGGAAAAGTCGACCCTAGTTCGCTTGTTAATAAAGAGCAACTACATGTTATGGAACATTTGGCTAGAAAATTCTATTATGATAGTTTTAGAGAAGAGAATCTTCCTCAAGATATCGAATCATCAGTTTACAGAAATTTAAACGCTTTCAAACTACTTTTAAGTACAACTACACCAATTATATTTCCCACTACAGACAAAGAATTTATGCATGAATTATTAGATCAATACATAGGTCCCAAAAAAGTTGAAGATCATTTGAAACCAACCAGTTTCTACTCTGTCACAGGTGTAACAGATAAATTCAAGCCTATAATTATTTCAGAAGCTAAGGAAATTAACGATGAAGAAATTGAATCCACATGTCACAATGAGGTTAACAAACTTTGGAATAGTTTCCAATCAATAGAAGATCCAAAAAAAAAGTTTTCCAAGGTAAAACGGCTCTTTCGTCACTATGATCTAGAGCTAGGGGAGCAAAGAATTAATTTGAATGACTGGGAAATGGACACCAAAAGAAAAATTGAACGTGATATCAAAAACGAAGTTCAAGAGTTGAAAAAGAAATATGTGAAATCATCTTTACCAGAACGTTCTACCGAATTATTGTTTGAAAAGGCAACTTCATTGAGAAAAAGAGATGCCAAAAGATATTTAGAGAAAATATTTGATTTTGTTTTAGGTCTATACGATTCGCAAGACTCTTTTTATCAAAAACAGGATGACGTGAAGCTTGAACCCAAAGTCAATCATCGCTTAAACAGCGATTTAAATGAATCAAGTATAGTCAAAGAGGGAGTGGTTGGGAGCTCTCATACATTAGATTTAATACTTTATGCAATTGAAAAGAAAACATCAATGGTAATTGAAGTCATTGAAGGAGACCATGATTTAAGTGATTACATGGAAACAATAATCAC